TTTTATTAAAGACCCTCAAGGTCACCTTACATTAGTACAAGAAAATCACAATGAAGGGTATGCAATTTTGAATACATGAGTTTTAAGATGCGATTTAAAAGTGGTATTAAGTATATCAAATATATTAACCCTCTCAGGCTCAAATTAAGTTTTTGTTGCTGATGCACAAAAAGAATACCTGCAGTGGTTTCTGAAAGTGGAGTCATCTCTGTGCTGGTCCTTATCGTAGCAACTGATGCTGCCGGCCACAGCGTTAGATTACAGATGCTAGAATACAACATTTGTATTAAAGGAAATTGTCACGGCTGTGCAGGGCGGATTGGACTCAAACAGATTAAACACCGACACCGGATGAACGTGGCAAGAATTTATTACAACAAGTGAAAAAAAACGTGAATACACACTAATATGGAGTTTAGTGGCTATATACAGGTGGAGGGAAATAGTGACTGAGTGAAAACTGTGATTATAAACACTTGGGCTGGGGGATATATACAAAGGTTAGGGCAGATGCACACACTGTGAGCTGGGACTGCTATGACTGACACAAAATGGTTGGCAAAAGTGACCAGCAACCAGACTGAGTAAGCGGTGACAGTTTGCAGGCGTGGTCTGTGGATTTAGCTGAAGACAGAGCAAAAGATTAGCACAAATACTAACAATCGGCAAGAGACATGAACGGATTAGCACTAACGGTGATTAGCAGACGTTCAGGCGACGAGCGGTTGTGAGCGCTGGTCTTAAATACTGCCGACATAATCAGCCTCAGGTGCAGCTCCCAGGTGGAAGGAAGGTCTCCACCCAGAGGAGGAGCCCTAGAGCACAGCAAACAAGCATGCCACTCACCCGCACCATGACAGGATATAGTTTAAATGATAGACTTCTGACAGATTCCAATATGTCCATGTGTGTGAGCAGTCTTCTTCACACATTAAAGTGTGTGGTGGAATCAAGACTGTTTATGTCACGCATCCCACCCCTAAGAAATATTATAAAACACTGCATAAAGGTCATGAAGGCCTGGATTTCCTGTTTCCAAATTCAGAGAAACTGAAGTTATTACATTTGGACCTCACACTCTCAGAAACATGGTTTTGGATACAATAATTAATTTTGATGGCATTACCTGTTTCTGCGTGTAACCTTTCAGTCAGTGTTGGGAAATGGAGGCAGGTGTGTTCATGAATGATCAGGCTCCATTATATCTTAGAA